TTTGATCTGGTGTTCAGTTGAGTTTTTTCAGTAAGCTAACATCAGAGAAAAGATTCGTTTGAAGTTCAAAGGGCTGTCTGAAAAAACATATCTCTTTGCCTTATGAAGATATTCAGTTCAAATGCGTCATTCCCATAAATGGAAACTCGATATATCTAAACCATTAGGTTTAAAAGTGTAAATGGGCGATAATGTTTCCAATCAGCCTTTTATGGGTCTCCGTGTCTGGAAACCGGTATTAAAATCAGTAACAAATGTGTGCAACGTAGATATGTAACACCCGTGTCGTCATGCTCTGCAAGGATTTATTGATATGTGTTAATGATAGAAAACAAACGCAAATATCGACAAGAAGCTTGGGGTGATATCAGCATGAAATGGTTTTAAAAATATATATATTATCGACGTTGGGGCCGTATTTCTAGGTTTCCATGGATACTTCAGAATTGTTTGAAAAATTTGTAAACCTGACAGATCGATATAAAATTTAATCGTGTTAAATTCGCGTGGTGTGTAAAAGAATTCACGTGTTCTTATCAACATGTTTGCGGAATTGCTAGAAGTGTGTAAGGCATTCCAGTGACCAATATATGCAGATGAATCAAAATGTATTGGTAAACCACAGGTACATCCAAATCACAATACGTTTTCAAACACCATATTAGAATTGGGTTTGCATTGAATAAACTCTTTATTGTTGGTCTTTTCATCACCAGCGTCAGCAGTAATATCTTATTCGTGTTGATGGTTCTTACTATCCAAATACAGGCAGATCATTTTGTTACCAGTGTCGGTCAATCCACGCCGTACGGGTACGATGTCGGGTCATGTCACTGAATCTTAGATTTCCTTTCTGTCCATAAGTCGGAAACAGGTGGTGGACCAGTCTTAACACAGCTTCTCCACGGAGTCTAAATACCTAAACCTAAAGATCATGCCTTGAGTGTGGAAAGGTCACAATACTTTATTGTTGAATCTTATCCATTATCCATTACAAAGCGAGTGAGTGTGTTTAGTTTTATGCCGCACTCAGCAATATTCCAGCTATATGGCGGCGGTCTGTAAATAATCGAGTCTGGACCAGACAATCCAGTGATCATCAGCATGAACATCGATCTAAGTAACTGGGATACAATGACATGTATCAACCAGGTCAGCGAGCCTGACCACCGGATCCCGTTAGTCGCCTCTTATGACAAGCATGGGTTACTGAAGGTCAATTCTAACCTGGATCTTCACGGGTCATTATAAAGACATCTGTGGAATCTAAGGAAGTCAAATCGAGTCACATCCCTAGGCGTCTCACTTCTCCGTATGTTCGGCAATGGTTAAAATACTATCACTTTTTAAACACTGAACGATTGAAGGGTTTAATCTGGTGTAAAGCTAAGACACTTCATTCACTATAAGAGAGCATATCTGCTGAATGGGTGAATGAACATGGATGTGATTCAGAACCGTTTCTTCTGAAAAGTTCATCAAGACGTGGTGATTGTACGGTGCATCGGCCGGTTCCTGCAGTTGAACGTGTCCTCGTATACAACTTGTGATGCATCCTTACGATGCCCCTGATGAGTGACTATTTCTTTTAGAACGCTTTAAGTTAAGGGTATCTTCAAGGACGTGCATGTGATATAATGTAGTTTGGACATGCCCTATCACTAACCTTATATCATATAGATTATGTGTGCGCGCGCGCGTGCGTGTGTGTGTGCGTGTGCGTGCCTCCGAACATGGTAGGATATACCTTCTTTTTGTCTGAATTACACCTTCAACCAACTTAAGCTGTGTTAACTATGGTCAGCGACCAGCTTTGCTATTTGCAGTACCTATTTAGTAGCCGGCTGACTACCATATTGCTTCTCACACAAAGTAATTGCGTTATATCACGACATATCCGGTAATTGTATCAGGAAGGCTGAAAGTGGCCGCGTTCGTAGACAGTGGCCTTTTTACCTACCACCACGTGGGAGTCAGTTGTTGATGGATCATAATGTAATCTGGGATTCGAACCCAGGATCATAATTGTAGGCATGGTTTAGAGGCACAACTGTAGGCATTGAATTGTTGTCCATTAGATTGGTAAAGAGATACGATAAAAGATATGTTTGAATCTTGCATCAATAGCCAGCATATTGACCAGCGACACTGACTGACGAGACCCTCACACTCGGTGCTATGTGGGAAGCCCCCGTCCATTTCGTCATCAGTGATTTGCGTAGACGAAAGATCACAAAGAAATGGATTTGTTCCGTAGGTCAGACGTCCCTCTACTGTCGTCCACGCTCATTCCAAGTAAAATCAGCAGTAAAGCAAATATACTTTTCATTCTGCACTGTTGACTCCCTGTTGTTCAAGACACAGGCATTGACGATCCGCCCACGGCGATGTCTGGTGCTTTCAATCTGGGACAAACGTCTGCATGTCGTGGTTGTGCCGCTCTGCTTTGTACCACTCGTCATCAACATGTGTATGCACCACACTGAGCATAACGGACAACACTCCACACACAGCATACTGGAATTCAGAAGATGCTGAGAAAGTAACTGTTGTTATGATATACTTCAACAGATTTCCAAGACAAAATGCGGGTCAAGATTTGGCGAGACACTCGCCTAAAGAATTGCATCACGCAGAAAGTGACTCTAGTCGGAGGCAGCATGAAAGGAACCCTTGATGGGCTGATGTTCACGCATGCACCGATTACTGAAAGAAGATGTGTTCAAGTATCCCTTTCTTTTGTGTAACCCTAGCCGTCCCAAGTGGAAATATGACAGGCTTATACTGCAATCAACCTTCTCAAATGCAAATTTTGACGGACTTTGACGTATGTTACCACAATGTAAAGATTCATTCTTCCGCAGTGAGGTACTGTATGACTCCAGGCTACAGGCCAACATCATCCCAGGCCACTTAGTTACATCACTCCTGCAGCTACACCACTCTAAGGTTCTGAGCTACAACATCACTCCAGGCTACTACATCACTCCGGGTCTCTGAGCTACATCACTCCGGTTCTCTGAGCTACATCACTCCAGGCTACATCACTCCGGGTCTCTGAGCTACATCACTCCAGGCTACTACATCACTCCGGGTCTCTGACCTACTTCACTCCAGGCTACTACATCACTCCGGGTCTCTGAGCTTCATCACTCCAGGCTACTACATCACTCCGGGATACTACATCACTCCGGGTCTCTGAGCTACATCACTCCAGGCTACTACATCACTCCGGGTCTCCGACCTACTTCACTCCAGGCTACTACATCACTCCGGGTCTCTGAGCTACATCACTCCAGGCTACTACGTCACTCCGGGTCTCTGAGCTACATCACTCCAGGCTACTACATCACTCCAGGCTACTACATCACTCTGGGCCTCTGAGCTACATCACTCCAGGCTACTACATCACTCCGGGCTACTACATCACTCTGGGTCTCTGAGCTACATCACTCCAGGCTACTACATCACTCCAGGCTACTACATCACTCCGGGTCTCTGAGCTACATCACTCCAGGCTACTATATCACTCCAGGTACTACATCATTCCAGGTCTCTGAGCTACATCACTCCAGGCTACTACATCACTCCAGGCTACTACATCACTCAAGGTCTCTGAGCTACATCACTCCAGGCTACTACATCACTCCGGGCCTCTGAGCTACATCACTCCAGGCTACTACATCACTCCAGGCTACTACATCACTCCGGGTCTCTGAGCTACATCACTCCAGGCCACTGAGCTACATCACTCCAGGCTACTACATCACTCCGGGTCTCTGAGCTACATCACTCCAGGCTACTACATCACTCCAGGCTACTACATCAATCCAGGTCTCTGAGCTACATCACTCCAGGCTACTACATCACTCCAGGCTACTACATCACTCCAGTCTCTGAGCTACTACATCACTCCAGGTCTCTGAGGCATACATCTGCACATCACTCTGGGCTGCTACATCACTCCAGGCTACTACATCCTCCAGGCTACTCACATCCTCCCTGAGCTACTCACATCAGGCTACTACAGGCTGAGCTACATCACTCCAGGCTACTACATCACTCGAGGCCTCTGAGCTACATCACTCCACTCCAGGCCACTGAGCTACTACACATCACTCCAGGCTACTACATCACTCCAGGCTACTACATCACTCCAGGTCTCTGAGCTACATCCTCCAGGCTACATCACCCACATCACTCCAGGCTACTACATCAATCCGGGTCTCTGAGCTACATCACTCCAGGCTACTACATCACTCCAGGTCTCTGAGCTATCACTCCACCCAGGTCTCAGGCTACATCACTCCAGGCTACTACATCACTCCAGGCTACTACATCACTCCAGGTCTCTGAGCTACATCACTCCAGGCTACTACATCACTCCAGGCTACTACATCACTCCGGGCCTCTGAGCTACATCACTCCAGGCTACTACATCACTCCGGGCCTCTGAGCTACATCACTCCAGGCTACATCACTCCAGGCTACATCATTCCAGGCCTCTGAGCTACATCACTCCAGGCTACATCACTCCAGGCTACTACATCACTCCGGGTCTCTGAGCTACATCACTCCAGGCTACTACATCACCCCAGGCTACTACATCACTCCTGGTCTCTGAGCTACATCACTCCAAGCCACTGAGCTTCATCACTCCAGGCCACTGAGCTACATCACTCCAGGCTACATCACTCAAGGCCACTGAGCTACATCACTCAAGGCCACTGAGCTACATCAATCCAGGCCACTGAGATACATAAAAAATTCAAACCCACTGAATTGAGATATTGAGCTACAAAATTACTCCAGGCTGCTGAAGTACACCATTCCATGCCTCTGAGCTACTACATCCATCCAGGCTACTATATCACTCATGGCTGTATGGCTACTTCATCCTTTCTGATTACTACACAGCTACACCTTTGCTGGACACACAGGCTATTTCCTTGCTTGAGCTGATGTCTAAATGTCTAACAGATGTCCAATGAGTCAACATATTCAAAGATACATAAATAATTTATTCAACTTGAAATACAGTTGCATGTTTATCTTGTGCAAATTAAACGAATATACTTGGGCCTCCTTTCACAAAGCCCTAAGGTGATTGTAAGTCACTAAGGCAACTTTAGTGTAATGTTAAAGAATGGGAGTTAAGGTTAACCTTAGTAAAGGTTGCTTTGTGGAAGGAGCCCATGGACCACTGTAAACCTGTTTAGACAAATTAGCGTTTAAAAATGAATATATACTGACACATTATAAAAATGCATAGTGAAACTTGGGAAATATTTTTCAGAGAACTGGCAGAAAATGGAGCAACAGATGTGTTACAATGGGGCCTGAAAGCATGATCAAATATCCACTTTTTGTTTTCAAAGTGTTTCAGTATATAGACTTGCAATGTAAAATCATTTTCTAATACTTTCCCAACATCACTCTTTAGCTTGTACAAAAACACAGCTTGAAAGTGTTTTGTAAACCAAACCAGTATATTCATAGCATTTACAAAATATTGATTTGAGTTCCGAAAGGTACTCTTGAAACAACAACTTCAATTCACCATGCACAGTTAAACCTCGTTAACCTGGATTTCACAGTCCCCCAAACAACTCCCTGCTACTAGTTATTCAACATGTTTCTCCATATTCTAGGCCAAACTTATTGATTCAGAAGGTCCAGTATGTACTGATGACATTATGCCATATATTGTATATTTGTTTACATTGTAATGTCACACTTTGTAATATATCCAGGTGTGGGAAGGCCGAGTGTATATCATGGAATTTAGACTAGACAATCCAGTGACTGACATGATATATGACAACAACTAAGTCCGCAAACCAGACTGTGATGACCTGTTCCTGTTTGTTACCTTTACTATAACCAGGTATGCTGAAGACTATTTCTAGTAATCCATATCAACATGGTGTGACTGTGCCAGTGGTAATTGAGTTGGTTAAGTTCAGACACAGTCCAGGTACAGTGGTTTTGTAGCGCTATGAGCACCTACTGAGTGGTTGGATTTGGTGCTACATAAATTTTCGGTATCATTATTATTATTTTTAAATCAAATAAAAAAGTACAATTAAAAAAATTAAATTTGGTCACTGTTACAATATTTTTCACGCCATATTATGACGCTGTTCTGAAGACGAACCAATTGTAACGGATCTTTCCACTGCATCATTATCCAATTCCGATGCCAGTAGTACACAACATCGCTGGCAACTGGAAATAGGTTCTCAAAACTCTGAACACAGTATTTATACATACATTTCGGTACGTGATGCCAGCTTCACCTCCACATAATAGCTGACAAACCATCAAGGTCAAAACCTGGTTTAGTTAACCCTTTGTGTGTGTTTAATGGTTAGTTAAACAGTATCATCATGCCAAGTTATTGTGACAGACAAGCCCAAAGCAGTGCCAGTCCAAGACAGTTACCCTTTGGTGGAACCAGCAGGCTCTCAGACACTGAGATTCAAACCCAATAACTACTACTTCCTGGTACTAGGAAGGGAAACAACTCCGCAAAACAAGATGGCATGCCAGAGAGCTGTTTGTTTGTAAATTCCTTCTTAATTTATTGAACTAATTTAAATCCTGGTTAGTCTTGTCAGTGCATAATGGTCACCCAGGCCCCTCGTCATCCTGATGACCAGTGGATGTCCGCATCTCAGTGCCTCCAACCGACATCATGTCCGTCCACCATCTGCGGCTCCAGGAAGCCACGGAACATGGAGCCATCAGCCAGCCATCTGGCTCCATAGCCTGAAACATCACACAACACTCTCATAAGCCAATACACCCTCTACGTTGTCATTTAGGTTGATGAAGACAAAAAACCCTGGTGATTAGGTGCCTGACTCTGAGCGTGGGTTTGAATGCAGGATGGAACTCAACCTAACAGAGTACAAGAATCTGTATTTTACTGAGAAAGTGTATAACCAAAAATAACATGTGTTACCTTTGACCACTTTCAAAATTTCATTTTGTGTCATAAAAATTCATTGTAGTGGTAAACTTAATATTATGCTTGATGTGACAACTTACCTTCCTCTTGTCTCATTTCCACTATAATGACATCATGCTGAAAAAAAGAAGGATAGTGAGTGAGTCAACAATAACACATAAAGCTGTTGCTATGACAGTCGTCGCTACACTTCATCATGTAGGTGAAGTACTAGTAACATAAGCAACATCCTCTGATTCGTCATGATGACACGTCGGTCATCCAGAGTGTCACCACTGAAATTGCTGGGGGACACATGCCAACACAATTCCCCATGTTGGTGAGGGCATTGGTGCAGCTGGTCAGGGCGAGGTCAGAGGGTGAAGTCTTATGTCTCTGGCCAATATTCCAGGAATTATACGGTGGGGCAGACCAAATATGGTACATTATTATGTTAGCATATTTTTTCGGCTACCTGATTGGTCTAGAGGCGGTCATGTGACCGGCGACAGAGTGGCATATTGACTCTAACCCAGGTCCGACCAAAAGTCATATTGACTTGAGTTACTAAAAATAGATTTTGACGTCAAGCTATGACATCATCCTATTGTTTACATGTCACAGTATTGTTAACATAACATTATTGGTTTGTAGCGAAAATAAAATTACTTTTCTTGACTAAATGGACATGTTTGTTTTTAGAAGCTATTTTTTGGGTCATTACATAATAAAACAATTATGGACTGGTGAATTTGGTCAATACCTGTTTTTATAGACCCGCGAAAAGCAATATTGACCAAGGACGAAGGTTTTATGGACCCGCGAAAAGCAATATTGCTTTTCGCAGGATCCATAAAAACAGGTATTGACCTCATCACCAGTCTATGATTGTATCCTGTACCCTTGTGACAAATGCAAACTGTTCCTCAAAATACTTTACATTCAAACTACACACACCTCTTTTCGAAAAGGCTGTATCCTCACTTACATTATGAATAACAGAGCCCTGACAAAACAAACCAGTGATTGATGTGATGAGCAGCAATTCATTAGACACATGACACATTACAACCAACCAGTGCTCGGTGCCCACTGAACCATATGATTTCATTGTGGACCTATGAAGACTTGTCCACAGTTAAACAACCATACTACAAGTTGCCAGGGACTCACCGGCAGCCAGTGGATGTTGATCCAGGTAGCATTGTCCATGATCTTGTTCAGCGTCTTCAGGGCGTGCTCGTTCTTGTCCATCTCAGCTGAAACACAAACCAGGTCGAACGTTAGGAAAGTATGACTCATGGAATAGAGTAAAGGAAAAGGATGACTGTAGGAGTCAGATGAAATCTGCATGACTTATCAGCTATTGAAATCTATACTTCTGCAGGCTACTGATGTGTGTCAACCATATACCTCTGCAAGCTACTGTTGTCTGTGAACCATATACGTCTGCAAGCTACTGATGTCTGTGAACCATATACCTCTGCAAGCTACTATTGTCTGTCAACCATATACATCTGTAAGCTACTGATGTCTGTCAACCATATATGTCTGCAAGCTACTGTTGTCTGTCAACCATATACGTCTGCAAGCTACTATTGTCTGTCAACCATATACATCTGCAAGCTACTGATGTCTGTCAACCATATACGTCTGCAAGCTACTATTGTCTGTCAACCATATATGTCTGCAAGCTACTGTTGTCTGTCAACCATATACGTCTGCAAGCTACTATTGTCTGTCAACCATATACATCTGCAAGTTACTGACGTCTGTCAACCATATACGCCTGCAAGCTACTATTGTCTGTCAACTGTATACGTCTGCAAGCTACTGATGTCTGTCAACCATATACATCTGCAAGCTACTATTGTCTGTCAACCATATACGCCTGCAAGCTACTATTGTCTGTCAACCATATACATCTGCAAGCTACTGTTGTCTGTCAACCATATACGTCTGCAAGCTACTGTTGTCTGTCAACCATATATGTCTGCAAGCTACTGTTGTCTGTCAACTATATACTTCGTAAGCTACTATTGTCTGTCAACTATATACATCTGTAAGCTACTGATGTCTGTCAACCATATACGCCTGCAAGCTACTATTGTCTGTCAACCATATACATCTGCAAGCTACTGTTGTCTGTCAACCATATATGTCTGCAAGCTACTGTTGTCTGTCAACCATATACATCTGCAAGCTACTATTGTCTGTTAACCATATACATCTGCAAGCTACTATTGTCTGTCAACCATATACGCCTGCAAGCTACTATTGTCTGTCAACCATATACGTCTGCAAGCTACTGTTGCCTGTCAACCATATACGTCTGCAAGCTACTGTTGTCTGTCAGCTATATACATCTGCAAGCTACTGTTGTCTGTCAACCATATACATCTGCAAGCTACTGTTGTCTGTCAACCATATACGTCTGCAAGCTACTGTTGTCTGTCAACAATATACATTTGCAAGCTACTGTTGTCTGTCAACCATATACATCTGCAAGCTACTATTGTCTGTCAACCATATACGCCTGCAAGCTACTATTGTCTGTCAACCATATACGTCTGTAAGCTACTGTTGTCTGTCAACCATATACGTCTACAAGCTACTGTTGTCTGTCAGCCATATACATCTGCAAGCTACTCTTGTCTGTCAACCATATACATCTGCAAGCTACTGTTGTCAGTCAACCATATATGTCTGCAAGCTACTGTTGTCTGTCAAGCATATACATCTGCAAGCTACTATTGTCTGTCAACCATATACGTCTGCAAGCTACTGTTGTCTGTCAACCATATACATCTGCAAGCTACTGTTGTCTGTCAACCATGTATGTCTGCAAGCTACTATTGTCTGTCAACCATATACGTCTGCAAGCTACTGTTGTCTGTCAACCATATATGTCTGCAAGCTACTGATGTCTGGCAACCATATACGTCTGCAAGCTACTGATGTCTGTCAGTTGTATACATTTGTCGGTCTGCGACCTTGTCTGTAGGGTATACTCACTCCCAGTGTTGGTGCCCCACCAGGAGTTCCTGTTGTCTGGCAACCATATACCTCTGCAAGCTACTGATGTCTGGCAACCATATACGTCTGCAAGCTACTGATGTCTGGCAACCATATAAGAGTGCAAGCTACTGATGTCTGTCAGTTGTATACACCTGTCGGTCTACGACCTTGTCTGTAGGGTATACTCACTCCCAGTGTTGGTGCCCCACCAGGAGTTGCTGTTGTCTGGCAACCATATACCTCTGCAAGCTACTGATGTCTGTCAACCATATACGTCTGCAAGCTACTGTTGTCTGTCAACCATATACGTCTGCAAGCTACTGTTGTCTGGCAACCATATACGTCTGCAAGCTACTGATATCTGTCAGTTGTATACATCTGTCGGTCTACAACTTTGTCTGTAGGGTATACTCACTCCCAGTGCTGGTGCCCCACCAGGAGTTGCTGTTGTCTGTCAACCATATACTTCTGCAAGCTACTGTTGTCTGGCAACCATATACGTCTGCAAGCTACTGATGTCTGTCAGTTGTATACATCTGTCGGTCTATGACCTTGTCTGTAGGGTATACTCACTCCCAGTGCTGGTGCCCCACCAGGAGTTGCTGTTGTCTCGGTGGAAGTGCTTGGCCAGTGCTCTCGCTCCCACCCACAGCTCCGAGTTAGGCCTGACAAATAGAAACAGTATCCTAATATGCTTTTTATATCAACATGTGCATACAGATACCAAACTGACACCTCAGGGGCAGATGTCTGGTGACAATGTGCAGCCATCATATTTAGAGAAACTTGCTCTTATGAAATTTTCTGAGAAAACAGACAGGTTTTGTCTGTTTCTCCTCAGTTTGAATGCCCAAATACTATCATGCTTTGAATTCTCTGTTGAAGAAAACAATTAACTCTGAGTTGTTCCAGTTCATTGTGTCTTGGTTGTACTATTAGACCTAAGAGCAGATTGTAAATATTCATCTCTGGAGAAGACAAACGTTTGATGTAAACTGAGCCAGGAGCTGTAGCATCAGGGCATATTGACATTCAAACAACCAAATTATTGAGCTCTACCTACACTCTCCCATATACCATGCAGTTAACTATCCTGATTACAGAGGTAGCACAAATCAGCTTACGAGTGTTTCTCCTTGAAGGATTTGATTAACTTCTCTTTGGATACCGGCCATATTTCCTTAGTTCCAACCGTCTTCCTGATTCCAAACAGGTCCAAAATGCCACGCTTCCCCAACAACTGAAGCAAAGATGACACCATCAGGCGCTGACAGTACTTTATTTGGCGATAAAGTTCACCGTTTTGCATTACATCACACTGAAATGACGTCACTACACCATACTCATCTGCCCCCTTGTAATCAAACGTATCTTTGGTAACCAATGTCATGATGCATGTCAGGTGTCATCGCCTCGTAGAGCCTCCTACAGTAAACTACTACGTAGCACCCTGTTTCCTGCCTTGCAGATCACTGGTGGCAACATTACGTTTAACTTTTTCCAACGGATAAATGTCTCAGCTTGAATCACAATTAACAGGCCACACAGCAATGTGCGCTGACTGAGCCTATGTCCACAGACCCACAATGCATCTGTGGAATGTCAAGTGACTTTATCTGGATTTACTGTTCAAACCTTACGTTGGTTGTTGAAGCGTGACGTTCACAATTCCCAATGTGGCTTCTCTAATATAGGGAAGACGTTTAATCTGAACGTAAACCTTCTTCAAACTCTTTATCATTTGGTTTTACGGCAACGTGTGCCTTAACGTAGGGGGCAGACACTGGAAGAGCCTGCCAGTTAGCCCTGATCGAGGATTGTTGATTAAGGTTCCAGACACTGTCGCTTTTCTGTTTGTTTTGTGCCTAGATTAATTACTGTGTGTATTAAATTTGGCATCTTAGAAAAGAAATACAGTTCACTCTACCTCCATGTATTGTGGAATAAAGTAGCTTTTGCCCTGAACTATTATAACCTTAAAGCACAGGGAAGCAAGCGTCATCGTAATTTAACTATAATAGTTCAGGGCAAAAGTGTACTTTATTACACTATACATGGGGGTAGAGTGAACTGTATTAGTTAGATACTGGGTGACCAGTACCGACCACAACTGACCAGGAGGACCTCTCGGATCCTGAACTTGATCTCCTCCCGTCCCCACATTGTCCACAGTGTCTTCAGGCCCTCCAGCAGGGGAGTGATGGAGGCGATCACGGCGTTCCTGAAACACATCCTTGTGTCATTCCTCGCTGTGTCAGGAATGGAATAGGTTCAGTGTGACAGGAAGGAGCAGTGCTTACTGTTCTGACAGGTACCACTTTCAAGTACCGAGCTACGAAATAACACTTATCAGAGGGGTACACAAAGTCCGCAGTCTAGACTACCAGTTGTCCGACTTCCATTTTTTGTAGAAGCTGCGGTGGCTGAGAGGTCCAGGCATCTGACTTTGTGTGCTGGCGATTAGGTGCCTGACTCTGAGGGTGTGGGTTCCGAATCCCGGATGGGACTCAACCCAATAAAAGTACTAGAATCTGTACTTTACAAAGAAAGTATAATCCCAGATATAACATGTGTTACAGGTACCCAGCTGCTTTAATCTTTTGTACCTTGCATCACCGTTGAAAATATGTGCCAGTCTAAATGTCCAAGACACCCTCTATTTATCTGGTACAGTTAACATTACTACCAAAGGTATTACTGGTGTTGTTTATTGGTATGTTGATTTCTTGATGAAATATAGTACTTGATTATACAGTGAGCGGAATTGTGATTGTGATCGGATATTAATATATCCCAGAAAACTTGCAACAGTTACTCCACACATAGTTCAACTGTATACTTCATACACCATCTAAAATTACTCTCATGTGGGTTTAGTTCCACACAGCGTTAAGGTGATTGTATCTCCCATACTTCAACATGTCACAGCCATTGTTGTATTACTGTAGTTTGTGGATCAGGGCAAGTTAAGTCTTTACTGTTCCGACAATCACAAATGAAAACATGACTGACAACTTGAATAGGACTTGCCAGTCCAGTTGTCCCGCTGGAATTTATCGGAATCTTAAACGTTGCTGGTATGCATAGTACATGCGATAATGTGCTAGGCACCATTATTAGACTTAATGTTGTTCCTGGTTTCCAGTTTGGTCTACTGATCATGTGACCAGGGCCTTTATTCTCGAAACGTTTGTAGCCCTAATAAATCTTAACTTTGATTGTAGCCAATGTGTTAAGAATGGGCTTAAGAAGTTTGTAGGGCTACGAACGTTTCGAGAATAGTTAGCCAGGGCTACAAGAATTTGTACATCTTTTAGAAGAGCATGTGGTGTTAAAAAGTCCCCACCCCCCAACATGACCAAAACAGCAAAATGTGTTCCTAAAAAGCTACTCTGGTTTCTGTAAGCAATAGCTGATAGAAATATATCATGTGAACGTTTAAACATGTGTAAAATGATATTCTGTGAATTTACTCATTTCATGTTGTTACACACATACCTTGACTCTGCATAGGTTTTCTCATCCAGCAAGTCATACTTGGGCAGATTCAGGGCAGGGCAATATCTGTAAAATACATTTTTCTAATACAAGTGCTGTGTTAACTTATCCATACAGTCTAAAGGACAAATTGAAACTGAAATTACAGAATATGTTTTTGAACTTATAACAACACTTATTTTGGCCAGCTCTCTTTTACAATTAGGTGAAGTGAAGTATAACCACTATTCATAAAATATGGCAAATAATATCATGTATTATGTTGATATTGGCAATTGGTTATCTGGAAAATTTTGTAATTTTACTTCCATTATGGTGTGATCTACACTACCAGCTTGCCTTTGGCAGTAGTACTGATCTGGAAATGCAATTATGTATATTTATATTAGATCAAATGGTTATAACCTGAAAGCCACATTTAAGAAAGAGTTTAAAATGGTGTGGCTCAACTGGCAATGGGCATGGTTGAGTGATCGTGTGAATGTGGCTCTCCCGGCAATGCGCTATTAGCTAATCCATGTTACCGTAAATAATAGGCATGAAATAATGAAATATTCATTACGTAAAATCTAGAAATCTAGTTGAATTGTTCGTGGAGAAAGGTCCAGATCACACAAACTAGCTGCCTCGAGTAGGTACTCAAACACCTTATACAAATTATTTATGATTATACAACCAATTATTTCTTTGAAGCATTTTAACTTAGTTAACTTTTACTTAATTCAATGTTTTATCCTTTTCTGATAACTGTTTCAGATAAGATCTTTTTTTGCCTCAGTTATTATGTTTACATTAATGCTAAAAACTAACAAAATAAAAACAATTTAGAAGTATGAACATTTATTGCATAAATATACTTATAAACAGCCACATGTGTGACGCCTAACAACTCTTTACACTTCAATTTCAGTCCTTTGTGATCTATGGTGACTCTTATTTGAAAAAACGGTATTGATTCCCTTACTCATTGTGGGTTTCGCGGCACCGAGGTTAGACTGTCTCACAGTCCCTGAACCACATTATTTTCTCCACTGCCAAGCTCTCTCTGCAGTGCTAAAGCCCTAAAGAAAGCAAGTCTAGCTTTCCTCAGATTCTGAATCTCTGGTCTCCCTGGGGCTCCTTTTCAATTTAAATGGGCTTGTTTGTTACTATCAAAATTATATATATTCAGAGACTAAGCATTAGTCTACACCGAGGTTTGCACTTGAAATATGGCTTTAGCGGCAATTGGTAGTTTTCAAATGTGGCTTTCTCGGGCGGACACCCATTTTGTAAACCATCTAATAAAACAAAGAGGCCTAACCATGAATAGTAATGAAATGCAAACTACAAAATTAGTGAAAAATGAAATTGTCTACAATCCTAATATTGGAAACATTTTGTAAATGTTCAAAAGGCCCCTATATGCTGGATATAAAGATGGGTTTCCATACTTCTCCTGCATCCATATGGTCAACATGTTGCCCAGTTCACGGTAAAGTGGGTGGATGGGATAGCCAATAATTGTCTCCCTTGTTCTATATTCCTTATCTTCATCCTCAGCCAGGAGAGTCTTGATTTCCTCTTCAGTCAAGAATGCATCATTTCTCAACAATTCATCTTGAAGAACCTGTAGCAAAATAACCAGGACTATTAGTATTATTACTTGTATAAATTAATGCTGATCATGGTCATTCTGCAATAGAAGCCCTGCTGAGCACAGTGAAGCCGAGGTGTTCTTTCAGTCAAGACATCAAGGTTTAGGGTCATGTCCTGGTTGTAGGATCCAATCATGGCACTTATCAAGATCAATTTCCGTGGACTGGTTGTTGCTTTTGTTAGTGCTTTTCTCCCGTGAGTACCTGGATGATATTCCAGAATTCTTGACTGGTTCGTTACCTCGGCTGCACCACCTTTGTAAATGCAAGATTGCATGTTTCAATATTCCATTAAATTCTATGTGTTAATATTGTTTAAAGTTTAAATTTAATCTTAAACTTAAATTTACTAAAATTTAAAATGCAAATATCTTAACTCATTGGTCTAATGGTTAAGGCTGTGGATTTGTAATCCAATGGTTGCAAGTTCAAACCCCACTTACACCAACTAAAACTTTTGTAACTAATTTAACTAATTTACATAAAGTATTTAAATTAGTCTCATTTCTAACACTTGTTTATCACATGACATCCCTAAGGAAGCACATGGTCTAAAAAAGCATGCACTTCAGTCTGTGCCTGACCACCATGCTGGAAAGTTGCTTCACCTCACTGTCTGCGAATAACTGCATGTCAAGAAACAAATGTAAGTTACTTTCAACTCATAGTATTTCTAACTTTATTGCATTATTATCATTTGTATTAATAATAAATTATTGATAAACAATTTTGATAACAGTTCAACGAAATGTTGTTCAAATGTTTAGTCATCCAAATGTATTTGTACAATTTCAATAAGCATTGTAGAGTTTATTAATGCCAAAAGTAAATATGTTTAAAGTGCATTAATGAGCAAAGATTATGAAATTGTTTCTGCTTATATTGTAGTTTTTTGAACCTCATCAGAGCTCATCAGTTTTCATCGTAGCCTGATTCATTGTCCAAGTGCTCACCAAGTTTCAAGGATGAAATGCTCATGGATCTCATGAATTGTTAAATTGTAACCTGCACGGATGTAATAAACTCTGATGCGAGTATCGGATTTTGTTCTTGCATCTACAACCTTCATGCACAATTGACAGTATAAGTATAGACTGATCAACAAAGATTAAATCTTTTTAACTCGATAATATTTCCATCTTCATTATTTTGATAACAAATGCTATGATATATTAATATCATAGCATACGTAATAGACATCATATTTGTACATGATTAAATATCTAGGTAAAAAAAACACAGAAATAATATCAAATTGGATCAGTCATTATACCATCCAAGCATTAGAAAATCTGAAAAAGCCTACACTGCTGGGATACTTTATTACAATCAGACAAGAAGTACCAGGGAAATTTTCAAATAACGGCATCTGATGGGCATCCACCCTTCCTTATGTCCCACTGTTTAGGTTGAAGAAATTCTGCCAAGGTGGACAGTAGCCCATTCCCTGTGTCCGTCATGGTCGAGGGAGCAGGTACTGACCAGCCTGTAGCTTGGTTTCGTAATTAGACAGCTGGAGAGAAACATTAATCGCTCTGGATCAGTGCCCCTTTAACACTAGGCCACTATAGCTTCAGCAAATCTGGTTTATATGTTGAAAGTACTGGAAGCCTGCCAGGTTGAATGTCAATGTTTACAGTTTGTTTAACAAGGTAATATACTTCTACCAAAGTGAGTGAGTGAGTTCAGTTTTACGCCGCTTTTAACCCTATTCCAGCTATATCACGGCGGGGGACACCAGAAATGGGCTTCACACATTGTACCCAGGTGGGGAATCGAACCTGTGTCTTCGGCGTGATGAGAGAACGCTTTAACCACTAGGCTGCCCCACCACCCCTTCTACCAAAGAGCAGCTGGAATATTAGTATAAATGTGTGATTAATATAAAATCCATCTTGTGAAAATTTGGGTAAAAAAGATATTTTGAAAACTGAACTTTCGTTATTGCAAGAGTCGAAGAGAGTCCAGTAAACAAGGTCCATCATTTTTCATATTAGTTCGTTTGTCAAGACTTCTGCAACATCATGTTACTCTACTTGTTTTCGATACACTTACCTCCCTGACATACTCGTTCATGACAAAATCCTCCTTCGACATGTCTGGCGATCAACTTTGCGCGAGTGACTGACTCTCAATACTGAGGTTACCAGTGTCGATAACAGACGACGAGATTTCAGGGTGGATTGGCAACAAATGCTTCCGCAGTAAATGTCGTGCCTGCTGTAGAACCTAAAGTAACGTGTCAATCTGTGGTTGTCCGTTGCATACGTATGATCATTCGAGAATGATCTGAGAACTCATCTCTCTTACACTACAGTTTCATCACTAATATTACACGGAAGTGTAAACACTAGTGCAAGGGAGGTAATTCTAATTTATAATGTCATAATGACAGTCGCTAAAACATGTTACGATTGCCGAGGTATTGCACGACTGAGTGATTCATGTACAAGTGTTTCAACGTCTCGGTGACTGAACGTTGTGTTTTGGCGTGCAACGTCACCTTTGACAGTGTCCAATATCAACTCGATAGGACTGAGATCACAGTGATAAGATAGGATGTTTTGAATATTTCATATAGCTGTGGCTTTGTTGCCTTTGTTGGAAATGACACATTATTGCATTCTAGCCACGTTAACGTGTCACCTTTTCGGCTATTGAAAGTTGACGCTGTACTGTCTGGATCTTGCACGCCATTCACCCACTCCAGAAAGGCATTACCATTCAACCACACCAGAAAGACATTACCATTCACCTAGTCCAGAAAGGCATTACCATTCAACCATAGCTTCAAGTGAGTCAGCTACCAGACCAGAACCACGACCGAGAAGATCAATCCGAGAGAAGAAGACACCTAAATGGATGTCCTCCGGAGAATATGTCATGAGCCACACAGTCCCAGAGAAAGAGATGCTGCAAAGATCTCGAATTATCCAACAGCTTGCAACACATAGTGTAGTATTTTATATTACAGTGTTATATTTTATGTTAGTTGGTACTGCTAGTTGAAGATTTACCTGTTTTTATGTACACAATACACACCTGTAAATATTGGTTATTTTAACATACTTAGAATACTTACAATACAACTGAAGCATACGCCAGCAAAGCATATCAATCAATGCATGAACACCAACCTTACAATAGCCAAAGCCCTGACCTGCCTCAGTCTTTTGTCTTGCTTATGTAATCAACACACAGTTTAAACTCAGTGGTTGGCCTGCTAATTTAGTTACTTTCAAGCATTCGAGCAGCAAGCTGCCCCACACTACAGTAAAGGTTTTAAAGGTATCTGGATACCAGCTCACCTCTGTATATTTCCACGGTTAGTACTTTATCTGTAATGTTGTATATTGTGTTTTAATGTGAGTATATCTGTTCTATATGACATGCATATATCTGTTTTGTATATAGGTAGAAGTATAGAAATGGTGTAGTCTACTTAATGTATACATATGCATATATAACTAATGTAGGGAAGTTATATAATGACGGGTTTAATAGTCATGCAAGCACATTTAATGTAACTATTGTATTAACGTAAACCCATGCATATTATGTAGTGTGAAACAATGTAATCACGTCATGTTGGTATGTACGTGTATGTGGATATATATATATATATATATATATGGGCAGGTGTATGTGCATATGCATGTACGTAAGTGTACATGATATGAAGTAGGTATAATACAATGTACTAGGTACTATTGTAGTTAGCGTGTAATGCCATGCATTAGCCACGTGTGATGTGTATTGACTTCTATGTAGATAATATTGTGGTACTATGTATGTTTATTTACTACAGATCCGTACAGGACTGTATGGTATGAGGGACTGCTGGATCTGGCAAACCTAGGTCCACACACCTGGTAGGTGTTGCATATCTTATGTTATCTTATCTCCCATATTAGTGTATCTATAATCAGCAGTCATCCCATCCGGATGACTATCCCTAGAAATCATTACAGATGTATTATATACATCCCTGGTATTATTTATATGCGGTGATTTGCCTTGATTAGAGTTGACCTGTATTGTATGTTGTAAACATTTCAGCATGCACTTGATACAATACCTATGATGTGCCATGTGTCTAAGTCTTGATGTATATAGTGTATGACACGATACCTGAGTAGGTTTACATTGTTCACCAATTGTTTCAGGGTTTATGTATAAGGAGGATATGGTGGATTCGTCCCAGAGTAATAAAGATGCCGTCAACTCACACCCCGTAGCCTTGTGGTTTTCATTACGGAAGAACCCCAAATTCCATGCTACTACATTTGGAGCCCCCAGTGAGGACTTGACGGTTTGGGCCAAGGTAAAGGACAGGCGACCACCCCAGAAACCATGCACCCCTCCGATAGCGTCCCATGACCATGATGACGTCATACTACTCTTGAGACGACGGTAACACGGAATACAGACTAGTATCTCAATGTGATATTCTGAGCCTGTTGAACTGGCTGTTATAGCTAGGTTGGTATGTAATCACACAGTAGTGGAGGCTCATGAATCATGGACTAGATGAACTAGAACATGGCACTGCCATTGTTTACTTGCAGTGTTACCTACAGCTGATTGACTATTTTGCTGAGTATAAGTTACAGAACATTGGTTTAGAAACCAATTAGAATGTCGGTCACATGCATGTAATGATATCCACATTTTGTGGTAGCAACATGTTTTTATGACAGTACTATGTGCTGGTTGCTTTGTAGCTGCTATGAACGAGGAATATTGAGGAAATGTGTTGAAATATGTACATATGACATATCTATGAACACAATCCCTCACAACAATAAAAAGTAGATAGTAACGTGTCATTAAACAAGTAAAGCAAAAATGTCAGCTCCCCGTTCTTAGTACCGCTACAGGGTAGACACAGGTGACAACCATTACCCCTTTATTGCTATTTGATCAGAGTGGACTGATCTGAGGTATATGTTGAACAGTCAACAGCATACAAGCACGTTTTCATGCTTAGTGATTCCATATCTTCTAACATGGAATATTCTCCTGGCTATTCAGCCTATGCCCTCAACTAGTGTTTGTGATCCCTGTTGATAAGATATATATGAAGGGATAACCTGTACATCATCAGGATCTAATGAGTTGTAGGTTGTCATATCGTATGCTCTTATTCATGTGTACATTTATCCTCTTGTCTCAGTATTATGTAATGGGAGACACACTGTCACCTGATGAAATTGAGAGACTTGTGTCGGCATTCAATACACTCCAAGTGCATCCGAATGTTGATTCAACAGACGAATTTGTGCAGTGGATGGGAGCATATACACATGGGGGATCCAAGGCAGGACCACAAGAGACACAAGGTGGAGGATATGGTACTAAGGCAAGACAGGACCATCCTACGACCAGGCGGATGCAGGAGATGAAGGCCATGTGCAAACATCTATCAAAACAAGTGGAGGAGTTGAAGCAGCAGCTCCAGGTCGCAGCAACATGGGCTCCTAAAGAATCTCACCATGATGGTAAATCAACTTGGTCAAACTCTCGCAGGCAAGGTCATTATGTCAGCAATAGTCACTGTGGGACTGAAACACATTCCAGTTTGCAATCAAACCTCAGGATAAGGCGAGGGTGGATAACGGATGAAGATGGCATCCGGGTACCAATCTGCTACAGATGTGGGCAGCTGGGTCACTTATCTTTTTCCTGTAGAGTTAGGATGGACCACAGTCATTTTCCACACACACTCCGGGGACTATATGGATTGAATAACAGAGTTCAGACTACTGACAAGCAAGATAATAAAAGTCTAGTTGGGAGTGCGAATGAAGTTGAGGTATTGGTAAATGGAATATGTGCACAAGCTTTACTTGATACAGGAGCCACGGTATCAACTATCAGTCAAGCCTTCCACCAACGTCACTTATCCCACCTACCGGTTGAGCCACTGGATACTATTCTTCGAGTGGAATGTGCTGATGGTCAACAGTTGCCTTATCTTGGACTTATTGAGGTTCCCCTTCTTGTCCCAAGCATGAATAAAACAGAACAGAGTTGTCTTTTCTTGGTAGTCCCAGATAGTAGCTATAATACCAATGTTCCTGTCTTGATAGGCACCAATATTCTTGGTACATTCATGGAGCTCACTAGGGAAGAACATGGCACCAGATTCCTACAACAGGCTAATCTACATACTCCGTGGTACTTAGCATTCAGGTGTATGACCCTGAGGGAAAAGGATTTAGTGAAGCAACACAACAGGCTAGCAATTGTGAAATGTGCAGAGACTAATCAGTATACTATCCCACCTAACAGTGAGGTCACAACTGTTACGATCCCCCACATGCCATAGTTTGTGAAGTACAACCTGTCAGTATTGAGGATATACCAGTACTAAGGAGCAGCAAGGGCGAAGACATAATCAACAAAATGGACTTTGACCAAGCAGCTGTTACTCCTGAAGAAATAACTCAAGGCAAGAAGGTTATTCATGATTTTCTGGACATCTTCTCTACTGGAGATACTGATGTAGGCTTTACTGATCGAGTCGCCCATCGCATCGAACTCATGTCGGAACATCCCTTCAAACAACGACATAGGCGGATAACACCAGCCATGTATCAAGAAGTGAGAGACCATCTTCAGCAGTTGTTATCAAATGGGATTATCCGCACGTCACATTGCCCATGGTCTTCCAATGTGGTGCTTGCTCGCAAAAAGGACGGCCGTCTCAGGATGTGTGTAGACTACCGACAATTGAACAATCAAACAATTACGGATAATTATTCTTTGGCACAAGGTCGGGGTACAGTTGGAATCTCACCGGTGAGATGGGATACGAACACATGGTATCATCACGACGTGGTTCATACACACAAGGTCGGGATACAGTTGGAATCTCACCAGTGAGATGGGATCAGGCACATGGTATCATCACGACGTGGTTCATACACAAAAGGTCGGGATACAGTTGGAATCTCACCGGTGAGATGGGATACGAACACATGGTATCATCACGACGTGGTTCATACACACAAGGCCGGTGTACAGTTGGAATCGTGCAATGGTCTCTGACACCTCATGGTCACATCACCTTCAAATTGTCCACTGTGGATTCCGGGTTAAAATTGCCCAGATTGAGAGTGACGTTTACTGAACAATCTAGCAAACCTAAAACCCCACAAAAAACAAACAAACAAACAAACGATCCCCAAAACAAATCAAATTAGAAATCAACAAGAAAAAAGGAAAAAAACAAAATGCAAAAAACAAAAACAGAACAAACCAAAATAAATGTATTGTCAACAGCAAACGATATTATCATTCACTGCTGTCCTTCCTAATCTTGGAGATAAAAAGTATGTTTGCTCCAATGAAAAACGAAGGCTGACAAGTCGCCTCACGACATCCAAGTGCATGTTACCAAGGTGATTTGCATGCACCTTCTGTTCCTGACACAGCCCGTTACGTTTCACATTTTTGCTATTCTAAATTCTTTTTCTCGGTGAGTCATACAGCTGAACATGTATTCAGTGAACTCTGTGATACCTTTAAGGAAGTTCGTGTAAACTTATTCCTACATACATGCCCCAACACCGAAGAGGTAAATAATATTATGCATATGTTAATAAACGAGACACTGGCAGGCATTAAATGTATTTTATTAATCAAGGCGTCAACCATTCTCCAAATCTCGCTGACCTCCGTCTAACATAACATATATACTCATACTGACTGACTGACTGAGTTTGGTTTTACGCCGTTTTTAGCAATATTCCAGCAACATCACGGCGGGGGACACCAGAAATGGGCTTCACACATTGTACCCATGTGGGGATTCGAACCCGTGTCTTCGGCGTAACGAGCCAACTCTTTAACCACTAGGCTACCCCACCGCCCCTATACCCATAAGAAACAGACATGGCAGCGCTCCAATGATCAAGTTAGATATTAGCCGATAACGGCTGATCAGCGATAATTAGAACACCCAGTTCTACCTGCACTACTCTGGTGGCATTTATTGCTCGGTGCAGGTGGAAGAAAATGTGGTGCAATGAATGTCGTACACGTCTAAGGTCAAATGTCAAGCGGTTCACTTAACGCCCAAGCATGTAATGTCAGTATTTAACAACTAAAACCTCACCTTTCTCGTTAATTGCTTGTAAAAGAATGACATTAATATAATTCAGGTTAGGCCCCTGCTTAAGGCGTTTGGTCGTACACTGCCTACTGAAGACAGTTTGTTTTCCTGACACAGGTATATTAAATGTTTCTGTATTTAGCTATGATTATACTAGGTATATTGTGCAGATTAAACCGTCACCCTTCCCCAGCCTAAATTAGTACTCTCAGATAATGTATTACCCAGTCGTAAAACAATCACGATCTTGTGGACCAAAGAGTTCCATGAATACTTTAGTATAAATTTTCTAGAATGTAATCAGTTCCACACCAAGCAGTAATCTGTATGAACTGGATCGCTGCAGGTTCGTTATGGTGGTCCCCCTTTCCGACAAGGCCACAGACCCCTTCTATTTCACAGCAAAACAGTTTGTTCACATGACTCTTTTTGTTTCCAGATATACCTCTATGACCTCATTCATGTAAACTTGATCAACTTCAGTGTTGTGGTAAAGCAATACCATCGCGATAAATACATGAAATCGATCCTTTTGTCTTCTGCAGATAAGAGCCAATGATTCTGACAACGGACTTTGTCAGTATGTGAGTGTAGAGAAGGTCACGTATGTTTTCATCCCACTTATATTTTGCATTGTGGTACCAGTGTAATGTGCCGTTAGCACGCATAAATCATAACATTACATGTCAGCAGACTGTCGATAGACCATCCAGCATCAATCGTCATTGGTGTGTTTCATAACGACTTTTCACCTTCAAATTGTCCACTGTGGATTCCGGGTTAAAATTGCCCAGATTGAGAGCGACGTTTACTGAACAATCTAGCAAACCCAAAACCCCACAAAAAACAACAAACAAACGATCCCCAAAACAAATCAAATTAGAAATCAACAAGAAAAAAGAAAAAAAACCAAAAACAAAAACAGAACAAACCAAAATAAATGTATTGTCAACAGCAAACGATATTATCATTCACTGCTGTCCTTCCTAATCTTGGAGATAAAAAATAAATTTGCTCCAATGAAAAACGAAGGCTGACAAGTCGCCTCACGACATCCAAGTGCATGTTACCAAGGTGATTTGCATGCACCTTCTGTTCCTGACACAGCCCGTTACGTTTCACATTTTTGCTATTCTAAATTCTTTTTCTCGGTGAGTCATACAGCTGAACATGTATTCAGTGAACTCTGTGATACCTTTAAGGAAGTTCGTGTAAACTTATTCCGACATACATGCCCCAACACCGAAGAGGTAAATAATATTATGCATATGTTAATAAACGAGACACTGGCAGGCATTAAATGTATTTTATTAATCAAGGCGTCAACCATTCTCCAAATCTCGCTGACCTCCGTCTAACATAACATATATATTCATAAGAAACAGACATGGAAGCTCTCCAATGATCAAGTTAGATATTAGCGGATAACGGCTGATCAGCGATAATTAGAACACTCAGTTGTACCTGCACTACTCTGGTGGCATTTATTGCTCGGTGCAGGTGGAAGAAAATGTGGTGCAATGAATGTCGTACACGTCTAATGCCCAATGTCAAGCGGTTCACTTAACGCCCAAGCATTTAATGTCAGTATTTAACAACTAAAACCACATCTATCTCGTTAATTGCTTGTAAAAGAATGACATAATTAGAATTCAGGTTAGGCCCCTGCTGAAGACAGTTTTTCCTGACACAGGTATATTAAATGTTTCTGATTTTAGCTATGATTATACTAGGTATATTGTGCAGATTAAACCGTCACCCTTCCCCAGCCTAAATTAGTACTCTCAGATAATGTATTACACGGTCGTAAAACAATCACGATCTTGTGGACCAAAGTGTTCCATGAATACTTTAGTATTAATTTTCTAGAATGAAATCAGTTTCAAAAGAGGCAGTAATCTGTATGAACTGGATCGCTGCAGGTTCGTTATGGTCCCCCTTTCCCACAAGGCCACAGACCCCTTCTATTTCACAGCAAAACAGTTTGTTCACATGACTCTTTTGTTTCCAGATATACCTCTATGACCTCATTCATGTAAACTTGATCAACTTCAGTGTTGTGGTAAAGCAATACCATCGCGATAAATACATGAAATCGATCCTTTTGTCTCCTGCAGATAAGAGCCAATGATTCTGACAACGGACTTTGTAAGTATGTGAGTGTAGAGAAGGTCACGTATGTATTCATACCACTAGTAGTTTGTCACCAATCCTTCACCTACGTGGATAGCAACCCTTTGAATATTTTCTTTAGCATAACGGGAACATGCTCTCAAATGTCTGATAATTGTAAGATTACTCAACCTACTAATACTTCTTCACATACGACATTGAAGAATTAATCATTGCCTTTCTAAAGGTGTATCGAACGCATTCTTGTTAACAGATACGACCAACGCGTTTACAATCATAACTGAATGGTTTATTCATGTTTAGACAGTTACCCTTTGAAATACATAATTGGAGGGCATCAATTACTGACTTATCCAGTTTCATAGATAACGTTTCACAGCCAGGTCAACTGCTCGCAATGCAGCCTCCGACCAGCCCTGTAGTTTGTTCGGCCACCAAGAACCAGCCACATGAAAGACTTCATGGTTGAAGAATGGCTTCAGCATATAATCCCGAGTCTCCTCCATCCTGAATCCTGGCTTATACAAGTGCCATCCAGCTCTAAATGGGTATGTGTCCCACAGTTGCATCGCCCCTCCTACTGTTTCAGGAATGTAGGACTCTGGAATTCTGTAGATTAGGCTCAAATAGGAATGCAACCGATTCCTTACTTCAGTGGACACCCTCGCGCCCGGGCAAACTTCCATATATGGTGTTACCTTGGCTCTGAAGTTCCCGCCAGAGGGCAACAGAACTCTCGCCATCACTATAGGTAGGCAGATGGATCCAGTAGCCATTAGTGCCCTTTCGCCAGTCGTAAGTAAACTTGCTTGGTAGACTTGATCTGCATGGGTGATGTTCTCATTCACATTGTTGAAGTCTGTCCAAGGGTAAGGGTAGGCAAGGAAGACTTTTTGTGCCTGGATGGGAATAACAGCGCCCATTCGTCGACGGAATTCACTGCTCTGATAAGGTGCAAAGTTCACCTTTTCCACACAGTCCTTCTGTATGGCTAAGACCACTTTTCTGGCACACACATAACTGACTGGTAGCTGCAGTGAGAGAAGATTAATGTTGGTAATGTTATTCGTCTCAAGGGTGTGTGATAGACATTATATTACACAGTTTACGCTGACCGTCTAGAGAATATCTACTAGAATATCTACTAGAAAATCATATAGAATAAGGTTTAGAGCCGGGAGGATCGGTGGGGGTCTGGTGGTCCATTCTCATGAAGCTCCAATTCGCCGCTAGAATTGCGTCTCTTGGGAACGCCAGATACCTATGATCTCGGGTTGAAACCCAGAGTAGGTTCGTCAACATCATACCCATGCTCGCTTATTTCAAAAAGTGCATGACTTCAGGTTTTCCATTCATATTAAGCTACCGCTTTAGTGAGACCCACGAGTACGGACATTGTGCCCGAAATGCTGCATGTCATGGATGCTTCCCACGTTAGTGAAACTCCTAGCCTGGATATTGTGAGGTCAAGGACGTATCTGTGATTCAAATCCCATGTGTATCCATTTGTGGTCCTTAGCCGACTGGACAACGCTTACCAATTACTTAAAGCTTCCTTGACACAGCATGCATCTTACAGATACGGGGATTACCAAAAAGGACAATGCTTCACCAGTGTAGGTTTGGTGTAACCAGCCACGGTCCTGGTTGGATGGAACCTCAGTCTGTAGTTGCCAGGACGTCCTCTCATGGACGTCAGCTGGTGGTTCAGGCGGACGGAATGTCTAGAACATGATATGAGTCTTGTTGAAAATATCATACTGACAGAATTGTTTTTTAAAAAAATCTTTTCTAGTCTGCTTTTATTGGCATTATTCCAACTATGCTGACAGCAGTCTGTAACGGTGAACATCAGCTCACGCCATTGCAACACGACATGTTTTGACATGTCGATCTCCATAGTCGCCTCTTAAGACAAACATGAGTTGCTGAAGACAAGTTCCGGGATCGTCACGGGATTGTCTCACAGAAAACCATTAAAGACTACTTACCTTGGACTGGCCCGTACAAAGGCGCTCAACAGCCGTTTCGGCACTTGGTCCATGCCATTCTGCACAGTTTTCAGGTCGTCGGGAACGTTTGAATCCGTGATAAAGGTCAGGAAATCGAGTCCAATTTGAGCGCCAAATTGCCAGTTGCGAAATTCCATACCAAGGCATCTCGTAAATAGCTGTAAGCTTCTCTGCTGGCGTAGCGACTCAGGAAGTTGTCCATGCTGGCGATAAACGATAACGTTAGCATGCTAGAACATGCGGTAACCACGTAACAATACAGTGTTAGACATGTTACGCAGCATTAATAGAATTTAGTCAGACAGTTCTTTCAGTGGCGAGAGGAACTCTGTGAAATGTACAATGATTAATGTACAACGAGATAGTGATTTGAAGTTGTGTTGCTACGATCCGATTCGTAAACAGTTAAAACAATGGGACGAACAGATGGCTTGAACTTGACAGTGGGGATTAAGTAAATTAAGTTTATCTTGATAAAATGGGTTACAGTGTATATTGATATACCTCATAGTGTACAGAGGGTACCCGTCTGTTGTGTATATTGTGTATATCTCCGACTCTGAGGGGTAGGCCAAACTGCTCATGTTGGTGTTTTCTGTATATAATTTCCTGAAATATGACAATATTCGATGGGTTAAAATAAAAGTAACCTGTATTTGATCTCTGAACAACGTTCAAATAGAATTGTTTTATAACTGTTTGATTGGCATTTTAGAAGTTCATGAATAATAAAATATATTCGGAAAGGTAAAATATTTTTGGATGACAGATTCTGTATTATATTATTATATAGGTATATGTTCTTACACCGTTGTCAAGCACTCACCTGATGAAGGAGTAAGAATTAGCTCTGAAACATCTTATAGAGAATAGAAAGAAGTTGTTATCCATAAAAGCGTGTCATCATTATATCATCACAATATAAGTAAATATATTACCTTCTTTATTACAATTTCCCTATTTATATAATTACATTCCCTCACATGACATTCATAAGGTCACCTTTTAAGCAAATCTCATTCAAATGGTTTCTAACCTGTGAAGGTCTGGGTTAGAATTGATCTTCAGTAACCCATGCTTGTCGTAAAAGGAGACTAAAGGCATCGGGTGGTCAGGCTCGCTGACGTGGTTGACACTGCAGGTCATCGTATCCCAATTGCGTAGATCGATGGTCATGCTGTTGATCACTGGACTGTCTGGTCCAGATTCGATTATTTACAGACTGGCGCCATATAGCTGGTATATAGCTGAGTGTGGCGTAAAACTAAACTCACTCACTCAGTCACTCAATGGTTTCTTAAAGCCTATTACCACAGAAGGTCACCCGGGCTGAGTCTCTCGCTGGGCCTCAGGTTGTATGGAGTCTTTGGTCCTCCCAGTTCATCCGGCAGAAGATGACGCCCACGGAGATAGTATATAGTCTCGTTACGGTTGCCGTAGTTCAAAGGAAAGTCAACAATATTGAGTCCAAGCTGGCTTGCAGTACGCACAAGAAATGTGTGTTCCTTGGGATTCAACCTCATCGCCCCGAAGTCCACAGTCGTGCCAGGAACAGTTGGGATCTGAGCTGTAAACATGCGACCTCCAATCCTGTCGGAGTACTCAAATATGGCTATTTTCAGTCCTCTGTTTCGTAGACGGTAGCCTGTGTATGTGCCGCCGATACCTGCACCGATGATCGCAACATCGAGACAGTCATCTTCGTGGTTGTCTGCAAAAAAAGACAGACTCGATATATTGGGGATTCAATCTTGATAGTGGCATTGGCACATATTCTCGAACTGACTCAGCGGTATTGTTTTTGTATTGTGGTATGCCTGGCCCAACGGCGTTGCAGTTGAGGTATTCATGGACTGACATAGCTTATCAAGTGAGTGAGTGAGTTTAGCTTTACACTGCTTTTAGCAATATTCCAGCAATAACACGGCGGAAGACACCAGAAATGAGCTTCAGGCATTGTACCCATTTTGGGAATCGAACCTGGGTCTACAGCGTAACGAGCCAACGCTTTAACAACAAGGCTACCCCACCGCCCCCACGGCTGATCAACATGCTGTGGTGCAGTTACACCACACGTTTCCTGTGTACACTACAGATAGGCACAGGTTCTCCCTACGAGTATACGTAGAATCAATAGCCCAGTCGTCCATGTCCCCATAATCCGACGTGATGAGTTACGTCCCCTAGAAACGTATGATTATGGGTTCGAGTCCAAGCTTTGACCCATTATTTTTCTGGATATTTCAGCACTATACCCGTGATTGTTGGTTTCAACACACGGAGGAACGTCCGTGATGTAACTAAAACATTGATAACAGCGACCTTAAAGGACTCACTAACTCACTCTCTCACTCACTTGAGTACACATGGACCAGCAGTCAGTGAGTGGACTCGACTTAAAGACTATGTTGATATCGATATGATACACAGAGACACAAATATCACGATCATAACATATGTACATTTTCAAAACTTACGTTTAAATTTCTTCTGCATACATTAACTCGAAGTAAATTATCTTTATGAAGGGCAATTCAATTGAAATACTGTTGGTATTAATACATCCGGTCTCTTGAAATAATTTAACCGGACTCAGGAAACAGATTCGTGTTGGATAATTAAAAAGGATGTCAGTTGAGGGCACTCACGCTCGGGCCATAACCCAGGCCAGGTACAGGTGACGTGTGGCAGGAGAACTGGAACAGACATATAGATATCACACAGTGTGCGTGGTTACGCTGGCAATGGACACTCGTGTACATGAAAGGTGTGACGTTAATAGTCTGTTTAATATGTCATTGCTTATAATATGTTCCAAACTTTTAAATCAAAATGAGTTCTTTTAAAACATTGCGTGTAGTAACAAAAACTCAAAACAGCAGACTGTTATTTACAACTGACACGTCCGTTGCTGTATATATTATGTGGTTGAGAAAAAGTTGAAAATACTCACAAATAAACAACAAAAAGGTCATCTTGTATGTGTGCCCTCTCACTAAAAAGATAACAGCAAATAATAAGTGAATGTAAATTATGCATGATGTATACACACGTGTAACTCCTGTGCAATGAATGTGTTTCTAATGCCACTTACAGAATGTGTGTCTCTGTACATTAAGCTGACCCTCACCTTAACACCCCTCACCGTTTGGTTGCTAGCGATTTGTTTCAGTATCACCTAGCGATGCCAGTCCGCACCACCAAAGGGAAATATTAAATTTAAAAAAATATAACGATCTTAAAATTGTGAAGAAATTAGTTGAATACGCTTGACGTGATCGTCAATAGTTACTTTTGGCTTAAGGGAATAAAAGTGTAATCGAAAAAGAAACTTTTGTTTGTTTTTGGTCAGTCACATAGGGGCGAGTCTTTTTCAAGGTAACGGTTCTTTTGGACAGTCTCGTGTTTAACATTCCGAGTTGTATGATCAGAAAACACGTTCCGACTGTCACGTTGCTCACCGGGTAAGTGAGGCTCCCATTGGTCGTATTAACGTATTATCGTATTAACTAGATTAATATTCAGAATTTAGCAGGTTGCAGAATTTCCCCTCTCCCCTACCACCACACCCGTACGCCCGCCGGCCCACACGCACGCGCGTATATTATCACTAACGGCAGTATTTCTGGAAAGACTCGTTTATGTATTAGGGGCAGGGAATCAGCTTCATTGCTGATTTGAACAACAGCAGCAGCAGTCGCAGCAGCAGTAACAAAAAAATAATTCTGTTTGGTATTATATACAAAGTAATTATGCATTGAGGATATTCATTCGTATAACTATTAAGAATTCATTTCCCCCAAACAATACGCATGCCCACAAGAGCCGTCAAGCAATGATGCTACCAAGTGAACACACACGTTTACACATATCTAGCTCTGAACTTTATGATTTATACCACATGCTAGTATATCACTACATGCCCATACCACCCACACAGTATAAAACACGTCCATTGGAAGTCTATAGCAAATAGTGGCTTGACTCCTAATAGCTCCCGCACCATCCTCGCTATACAACTAAGCCTCTGTATCCATCGTGCAGAGTAAAGTTAATTATACACTCAGCTTATATGACACAGCTACAAACTATCAACTGAAAAAACATTCATCAATTCTTAGCTCATTCATCATGTAAATTACACTAAACCCAATAATTACAGTAGTAACTGCACTTCCACATTAGCGTATTTTAACATGTACAGAT